TGATGTCTCTGTGACCACTGCCCTGACTGGGGGTGAGAGGCGCCATCTGAAGGCGTGGTAATTACACGTGCACAATTCGACCCCTTTGATGGGCAAGGCTCGCCCAGATGCCCAGCACAACACTGGGGCACGGTCCAGCACACCTGATCACCCAGGTCACTGCTCACCGGCCACCCTGCTTTTTCCCTCAGCCACCTCTAACTCTTTCTACAGGAGCCAGAGTCACCCTTTCAAACACAAGTCTTGGCATGTCACTCCCCCACCCAAAAGCATCCAGTAGCCTTCCATCACACCTAGAATAACCCAGAGTCAGCGGACCTCCTGCCAAGTTCCCACGTGATCTGCCCCAGCTGCCCCTAGAAGCAAGCACATTTCCCACAGAGTGTTTTCCTCATTCCTCTCCTCTGAACACACTGACCTCCCTGTGGCTCCTAAAATGCACCTGACCCTGCCTTGCCTTGGGGCCTGTGCACTGGCTGTTCCCTCAGGCCCCTCGATGTCCACAAAGCTCCTCTCACTTCCTTTGGGTCCCTGTTCCTGTGCCAGCCCTCAGAGAGGCCTTATGCGTGCCCCAATTGTCCTTGGCCTCCTGCTATATTTTCACTCGAGTGTCATTTCCATGAGGGCATGAACCTTGTCCATTCAGTTCCCACTGAATCCCACTGCCTAGAGTAGCAGGTCTCAACTGGCGGCAATTTTGCCCACCACGGGACAGTTGGCAATGTCTGGAGTTTGTTTGTGCCAGCTGGGGGTGGGGCAGTAGTTACTAGTGGCATCGAGTAGTTGGAGGCCAGGGATGTTGTCTAACATGTGACAGTGCACAGGATGGCCCCCATCATAGAATATCTAGTCCAAATCCCCCACATGTCCAAAGAGTCTACACCTCTTTTCTATCTTGTTTTAAAACTTTTTATTATGAATGTTTTCAAGTACACAGAACATTATCCACAGGAGCACAATGGAAAACACTGATCAATTCAACAGGTGTTTGTATTGAACCATATCTGCCTCTTCTTGTCCTCTCGCCATTTACCGGAACCAATCAAAAGCCAATTGTTGATCTAGAGCAGTGGTCCTTGAAGTGTGATCTTAAGACACCTAGGGGGTCCCCAAGACTCTCTAGGAGGTTCTATGCTGCCAAAATATTGTATAAATATCTGAAATTATTTATCTTTTCCATTCTGATTCTCTTGTGAGTGTACAGAATATTCCCGGGGCTACATGACACGTGATAGTGCAACAAATTGAATGGAAAAGCAAGTATGAGAATTCATCTGTCTCCTACTTAGCCATTCATTAATGATATCTCGAAAAATGTTTTCTACATGTAAGAAGTAACGTAGTCTATCATGACACTTCATCCCTGATCACTTCAGCATGAACCTCCAAAAAATCAAAATCTACATACACACAGTGCAGCTACTGCTCTGTATCCAAGTACCCGTATGCATCTTAGCTCACTGTTTCTGTGTCTGCAATCCAGGAGGGCCTGAGCTGAGAGCCTACCACACTCCAAGATACCACATCGCATAAAATTTCCAGCAGTTTCCTCGTATCAGCTAATAGGCAGTCACATAAACATAACCCAGGTATCCCGAATGCCTACTATAGACGTCTGTTCAGGCCAGAAGCCAATCAAGGGCTGCAAGTTCTATTTGGTTATTGTTAAGGACTGAATGTATGTTCTCCAAATTCATTTGTTGAAATCCTACACCTCAATGAGATGGTGTTAAGAGGCGGGGCCTTCGAGAGGTGGTCAGGTCATGAAGGTGGGGGCCTCATGAATGGACTTGCCCTTATGAGAAGAGGCCAGAGAGCTAGCTGGCTCTCCTCCTGCCATGTGAGGACAGAGGGAGAAAGCAGCCATCTGCAACTCAGAAGAGGGCTCTCACCAGAATCCGACCACGCTGGCACCTTGATCTTGGACTTCTAGCCTCCAGAACGGTGAGAAATTAATGCCGTTGAGCCACCCAGTCTCTGGAACTGCGCCATAATAGCAGAGCTGACCATGACTCTTACTCAGTCTCATAAGTTTCATTCGATGGAGAATTCCCCCCTTTTTATTTTCTTGCCTGATATTGGCTTGTTGCAGAGAGAGGGTCCAATGGCCCACTGAGGGTGCCAGGTCATCTGAGGCACACGACGGTGCAAGGGGCCACTCTGGGATATGGGATGCAGAGGAGGTGCCTGGACAGCCTGGAATGGGACCTACAAGGACAATGGCCAGCAGAGGATGAAGGTGGCACCCAGCCTTCTGCACAGTGGCTCTTTCACACTGAACACCAACCATTCCTGGGAGACCAGATTTATGAGGCCAGGACAGTCTTGGAGAGAGCTGATGGTAGGGGAGTGGGCAGAGACACACAGTGCAGTCCCAGGCTGGGGGCAGGGGGACAGGACAATTGTCTTGGCTATTCTAAACCCCCATCCGCAATGCCACTGCCATCACCACTTCCTGTCTCTTGGGAATTTCCCAGCATGCAGATCCTCTTCCATCTATCTGATCCCTCCAAAAAGCCAAGGGAGCAGGACCAGCAAGTGCAGCTGGCCCCATTTTATGTATTCAGCAACTCCTCCAAGCAGAAAGGCTGCGGCCAAAGCCACCCTGCTAAGTGACAGAACCAGACTTTCCACGCAAGTCCCACACTGAAACTTAAAGCATGTGACCCCCCCACACACTTCCCGGACAGGGTGTCCACATCAGGGGCAGGGGCGGTTTGTGGCGGACATCCCCACCACCTCTTCCCACGATTGGCGGAGCAGGGCTCATCATCTCGTTTTCTATTTTTTTTTTTTTTATCCTCACCTGAGGATATTTTTCCATTTTTTACTCAGATAGAGCGGGAAGGAGAGAGAGGAAGAGAGAGAAACATCGATGTGAAAGGGACACATCGAGTGGCCGCCACCCACACGACCCAACCAGGGCCGGGGACAAACTGCAGCCAAGGTACATGCCCTTAGCGGGAACCGAACCCGGGTCTCTATGGACCGCAGGCTGACGCTCTAACCGCTGAGCCAAACCGGCCAGGGCAATCATCTCGTTTTCTGCTCACCTCCACTGGAACCATTCGTCCCACCTCTGCAGATAAGAGGGACTCCGTTCAGAGTTGCGCCATAGAAGGATATCCTCCGGGTCTGCCACACCCCGAATCCCAGCAGCACCGGGCACACGCTGACCCAGTGCCTGGCAGTTTCCTGTCCCCTGACACTTTCTGCCTAGCCGGCTTCCCAGCTACAACATGCAGACAGGCCAGCCCGCTGACAGAGCTGTTTCTGGAAGCCCGCACATAAAAGAACCTTCACATATTTCCAATATATTCAACATCATGGAAGGGAATCAGATCTCTGACCAAGGGCTCAGCATCAAAAAAATCAGAGGAAAACTAATTCTGGAATACTAGAGCTGGAAGAGCATCTAAATCAGTGGTTCCCAGCCAGCCAATGGAGCTCCCCCTGCAGGGACAATGTGCGGAGAAATTTTTTGGTGTCACAACTTGGAGAGAAGGGAAGGTTTATTAATGGTATCTGGAGAGTGGAGGCCAGGGATGCTGCTAAACATCTTACAGTGCACAGGACATCCCACCGCGACAGACTGATCCTGCCCAAAATGTCAATAGTGCCGAAGTGAAGCCCTGGTCTAAATTCCTGGGTTACTTCTAGTACAAAGAAACTGAGACCCAAAGTGACTTGTTCAAGGTGACACAGCCCCAAAGCCTGAAGTAGAATCTGGGACTCAACCACATCCCTCTCTATCACCTGTTCTGCTCTGCTCGAGCTGGGCTGGGGGAGAAGCAAGGGTGAGGACCCGAAGGAAGCCAACCTGAGCCAAATGAAGAACATGGCAATCAAGAAATTACAATCACTGCAGCAGGGTGTGCGGCCTCGAAGAGGAATGCCTTCTTCTACCACCAACCAAAATGGCTCTGCTGTGCAGGTCCTCCAACAGTTACTGGTGGGCCACACTATTCATGGTGTGAGCTCCAATTCAGTTCACTGACACCACAGCCCCCAGAGGGCACCCAGTTTACAGGAAAGAATGCCACGTTCTCCTCCTAAGGGTGCCCACACTTGTCCTAGCCTCGGGTTGTTTTTGAACCAGAGAAACAAATCTGAACAGGAGTCCATAAAAATCCCACCGACTGAACAGTCACCTGACCCCCCTTCCATCTGCCGCTGAGTCACCATCGGCCCCTTCTTTCATCAAGCTAATTATTCAGCAAGGGAACTCAAAAGAACACTGGGAATTCTGGGAGTTGGGTGTTCATCCCCACCTCCACCCCCTCCTAAAGACCATTTTGTTCTTAAGAGATGTGTTCTGAAGAGAGCTGATTTGCTATCTTCCCCTCCCATGTTATCTTCACAGGCTGTATTGTATTGTATTGTATTGTGTTGTAGTTTAGTTTAGTTTATTGCATACTGTTATTTTTAAATCTGCTTAAAGCACCCAAAGGTGAAAAAAATACATTCATGGGCTATCCCCTTTTCAATGCTGGAACCTTGCAAAATCATGCAAAACGATTTTGATTGCATATCTAGTTCTTTGACTTGCTGACCACCGAGACGTGTCCATCCCATTCAGAGCAAAGCAGCTTTGGCTTTAAAGAAATCAGGCTGGATGCTGAGGACAAACCCCTGTCAGGAGAATTCGTAAATGGGCCATTATTTAAGAAGCACAATGACAGCTGGGAACAGCTGATAGTTATCTTGGCCAAGCCCGGCTCTCTCTTTATAATGCATGTGTGGGTGATCATTCCAGATTTTTTTTCCTTCCTGAGCAAGAGGCCAGGTCTTCCCATCTGGCCCCTGCCCACTTTCCCGGGATGGGCATGCAAACACCCAAGTCACCACGCGTGGCCTACACCAGCTCCCCTCCTCCCCCGACTCCGTCCCCGGGCCGGGTACATGCAAAAGCGCGGCAGCCAGAGACCCCCACTTTGGCTTTCTGGGGCGCCTCCGGGCTGCAGGCCCGCAGCCAGGACTCGGCGCCGCGCGCCCCTTACCTGCAGTGCCGCATGGCGCAGCCCGGCCACCCACCTGCACAGCATCCTAGAGCATCCTTTCTTCAACGCAACGCCTGTGAGCGCGGTGACGTCACCGGAGGCGGATCCCACCCCGCCACGTGACACCCTCGGGGACAGCGGGGGGCAGCGGGAGGTGGCTGGTGGTGGCGGGTGGGCGTGGGGAAGACCCTGTAAGTCCCTGGAGGTGAAGATGAAGTCGCCGGGAAGCCCATTCCAGCCTCCCTGCTGGGCTGAGCTAGCGCGCAGCTGGCCTGGCCTTCCCCCAACTGTGGGAACCAATGGGCACTGAGGGAGAAAGCCAGATGATCACAGGCTCTGCGCGTGTAATCGGATTGCAAGAGAGCTGGCAATAAGGGGATTAGTAGTGAAAGGAAATAATTCAGAGTTTTATTTTAAACATCTTTATCAAATGCAATGGAGAAATAAATATGCTTTCTGCAAATCGGATTGGCAGTTAAAATACAGAGCGCCTGGACATACTTTGCATAGAGGGTCTATGAAACGTGACAGCAAACCCTTTCACTGGGGGCATATTTATTATGGAATATTACTCTGACTGCACTGATGAATAATGCTTTGAATGCCTCTCAATAGAGACTTTCCAATATTAACCTGGATTTGCCAAATAAAAAGACAGCGATGACGCATACTGATACTACTTACTTAAACATCTCATTATTTAAAATAAACCCCTATTGCCTGAGCATGGTTGTACACGTGTCTGTGTTTATTTTCTTAAATCTTTTGACAAGGAATTCAATCTCTCTGACATGACAGAGTTCATTCCCAGTAGCTCATTATTTCACATTTTTTTAATTTTTATCACATTCTGCAGAAGTGAGAGGGAGTCATCTTCCTATTCCAGAAAGTATGTACAATGTCAACATTTCCCCCGTACAACGGACAACAGCCTTGCCTAGAAAGCCTCAGACAACTCCAACTGTGGTCATTTTGTAGATTTGAAATGGCCTGTTTCAAACTCAAGCGGTGAACATATGACCTTTTCTTGCCAAACCACATAAACAGTTTTGAACTGTGAAAGGACAGTATTTGTCTTCCGGTTTCACACACGCGAGTTTCCTTGCACTGGAGTCGGAATCGCCACTGTAACACTCCCCTGCTCGCGCCCCTGCAGGGGATGCGAAATAGATTGTTTTACAGACTGCTGTACAAGCAGGCCGGGCTTACTCACCTGCTATTTATCCCACAGCTTCCATGCCCTTCTATATTTAACCCCGGCATTTTCCCACCGTTCCCTCCAGATGCACAGAATTTCTGCTCAGAGGCCAGTCTCTAATTTGAGGGTAAATACGGCCCTCTCCCGGCTGTGGATCATTTTCAACACCCGGTTTTAAAAATCAACCAAGTGGCCGTGTGGTTTTCTAGGTCACTTTCCTCAAGTTTGTTTTTCTGAATGATAAGCAACTTACCTTTTGCTTTCAGATTCCTGAGATAGAGAGTTAAAATGCTACCGAAATCCCCTGCTCCTGGGGGTTCAGGGTCTGATGGAAACAGAAACTGACAGGCTCACTCTCCTGCCAAACTTGACAGTCGATTTCAGCCTCACAGGCTCAGGCCTCGCCGCCCCACCCCCAGCCAGCCTGTGCGTCACGTGCTCGGCCCAGCCATTCAGCCCTGCCCAGCCTCTGTCACCTCTTGTCTCCGGGGGCCCTTCGCCTACACTCGTCGGTGCTTTCATGCCCAAAGAAAACCCAGCGTTCCCGACACAGGACACCCTGCTGGGGTGCACAGACTTCTGTGACAGGAGTTCCAAGAATCAATGGGGCTCGGGGGCCCCACAAAATGCCCTCCTGCGGTCTGAAGTGACGTGCTCATTTCCGGCTTGGAGGAAATGTCTAAAGGAGAGGCACCTTCCTCATCGTGGGTGATATTTTGCCCGTAGGTGAATTTCACCTTCTTTTTTCAAGGTGATTGCTCAAGTGGAAAAATCATTACAGCAAATGGGCAATTCACAAAAGGCCGAAAAACTGGGCCGTGCAGTTTGCAACAGAATGAGATAACTCTTCCAACCTCCTCCACACCCACCCGTGAAACTTGTCATTTTGGCAAAGATTTTGTTGTTGCTGTTAATCCTCACCCAAGAATATTTTTTCCATTGATTTTTTTTTTTTAAGAGACAGAGTGGAAGGGTTGGGGGAAGTAGAAGAGAGAGAGGGAGAGCGAGAAACAAAAAAACATTGATGTGAGAGAGAGACATCAATTGGTTGCCTCCCGCACACGCCCCTGATCGGGGACTCACACCTGCAACCCAGGTATATGCCTTTGAGGGGAATCGAACCCGTGACCCTTCGGTAGGACGCTCTAACAACTTAGCCATGCCACCAAGGGCTTGACAGAATTTTTAAAATAAAAATAGGTACCACCCGCCCTGGCCTGTTTGGCTCAGTGGTTAGAATGTCAGCCCGTGGACCAAAGAGTTTCAGGTTCGATTCTGGTCGAGGGCACATACCTCAGTTTCAGTTCATCCCGGCCCTGGTCAGGATCCAGCAGGAGGCAGCCAGTCAATGTGTCTCTCTCGTGGTGTCGATGTTTCTCTCTCTTCCTCCCCCCCCCCCCCACTCTATCTGAAGATATTTGAAAAAAATATCCTCAGGTGAGGATTAAAAAAAAAAAAAATAGGTACCACCCATGAGAATGTAAATTGAACAATCTTTTTGGTGGGCAGCTAAGCAATTTTTAGTAAAAGCCTTACAAGTATGCATCGTTTGAAAAATACTGTGGGCCCCACAGCTGTTGGCATCGTTTGCTCCAGGAATTCAGCCTGCAGAGGGAAAGAAGGGAGCACAAAGGATCACCTTGGGAAACTTCGCTGCAGTATTATTTATGATCTCAAAGCACCAGAAGCCAGTTAAATCTCCAAAAACAGACGATGGGTTAAATTATAAGACATGTGTTCAATGGAAGATGTAAAATGAACGTGGTAGTAGATACATTTTGACATGAAAATACCTTCACAGTTTATTAAAGAGCAAAGTCCAAAGCATTATGTGTTGATAGAGCCTTCTAATGGATGTAGGTGGGATATATTTCTATCTACACAAATACCATAATATCTGAACATAGAAAACAATTAGGAAGCAAACTCGCAAAAGTATCAATCATGGTATTTCACTGGTTAGTGGGATGAGGGGTGTTTTACATGTTTCTTCTTTTTTAGCTTTACATTTTCTCATTTTTTGCGATTAACATATATTGCTTTTGTAAGAAGAAACAATTACTGTTGCTTGTTTTCTTAAAAACACCCTAGTAGACATGTGATCATGGAATAAACATTTTTGGCTACTTTTTGATGCAGATTTCATTACTTGAAGATTCTCAAATCTTAACCGCAAAGCCCCAAGAGTAATTCTTAGTCATCCTAGATTGTTCTGCTCATAAACATCCCCTCCACCCCCAATATTATGTTCCTTTATTGGAGCAAGATTCCTGGCCATTGTACAGTGATGTATCCACTAAACAGTCCTGTGTACAGATTACATACTATCCATCTAGACAGGTTTCCATTGGGCTCTGCCCAGTGATGGAATAGTTCCATTTATAACGGTTTACACATCAAAATAGCTTTCAATTTGACCAGGCTGTCCACAATTCACCTCTGAAAAAATTAAGTGGCATTTCATTTTAACTACCATATTTTACAGCATTAAAAAACTTAGGCATGAATGGCTGCCATCAACAAATTGTCAAACAACAAGTGCTGGCAAGGGTGTGGAGAAGGGGACTCGAGTACACTGCCGGTGGGAATGCAGACTGGTGCAGCCACTATAGAAAACAATATGGTGTTTCTTCAAAAAATTAAGAATGGAACTGCCATTTGACCCAGTGATCCAACTTCAAGGAATATATCCTAAGAAGCCTGAAACACCAATCAGAAAGAATATATGCACCCCTATGTTCATAGCAGCACTATTTACAATTGGTAAGATCTGGTAACAGCCCAAGTGTCCATCAGCAGAGGAATGGATAAAAAAGCTGTGGTACATGTACACAATGGAATACTATGCAGCTGTAAGAAAGAAAGATCTCTTACCCTTTGCGACGACATGGAGGGACCTGGATGAGCAAAATAAGCCAGTCAGAGAAAGACAAGTACAACATGATCTCACTTATTTATGGAATATCATGAACAAAATAATCTGTTGATCAAAATAGATCCAGAGTCATGGAAGTAGAGAACAGACTGACAAACCTCAGGGGAAGAGGGGTGAGTGGGTTAGGAAGAGATAAACAGAAGAATCTATATGCATATCTGCACAACCAGTGGAGACAGACATTAGGTGGGGGAAAAGCAGAAGGGGATTGGGAGTGGGGAGGAGGGGGTCAATGAGGGGGGGAAGGAGGGACATCTGTAATACTTTCAACAATATTTTTTTTAAAGCTTAGGCATTGCCCTGGCTGGTGTACTCAGTGGTTAGAGCATTGGCCCATGCACCCAAGGGTCTCTGGTTTGATTCCTAGTCAAGAGCATGTACGTGGGTTGCTGGTTTGATTCCCTAGTCTCAGTCGGGGCACATGTGGGAGGCAACCAGTCAATGTATCTCACATTGCTGTTTCTCTCTCTCCTCTTTCCTCCCTTTCGCTCTCTCTAAAAATTAATGGGAAAAAATATTCTCGGTTGAAGATTAACAACAACATCAACAAAGCTTAGACAATAGGTAACTTCTCAAAATGTGGCTCTATGCACTATGGCCTTCAGCAGAGTAAGAGCCTGTCTTCTTGGTCACCTTTTCAGTGCCAATGAATACATGCCAGCAATAGTCCCATGTGTAACTTGGCATTAGAGCACTAGGTCTGTCTGGTGGTGGTGGCAGGCACTATTATAATATCCAGATAAACAGAGACCCATCTTTAAAATGCCAACTTGAAACAAAATTAAGGGTACAATAATACTCAGAACTGAATTTGGAGCAATATGGTATCCTGAGTGATTTGAACATTTCCAGAAACTGATAGCAAATTGTACTCGTGATATTTCCCAGCTATGGAGACATGAGTACATTGATCCCAATCCCTTTACTTGATCCACACAACCCTGGGGTCATCCTGCAAAGTGCATATCAAAAGCATCAAGTTAGGTTGACAAAGTTTGATAATATGTTATACAAGTCAAACTTGAAACCTGTTGAGGGAAAAGCATCCAATCCTTTGTGGACACATTTAGTTTTATTGTAATACAGCAACTTGTACACTTCTAACGTTTCAAAGTGAGCATCATCCTTCCAGTGAAGCAGAA